CTCTCCTCCTCCTCCTCCTCCTCCTCCTCCTCCTCCTCCTCCTCCTCCCCCTCATCGAAGGCGCGGCGTCGCCGGATCGCGGCCGTGCCAGCGGCCGCCCCTGCTGCCGGGCGACGACGCCCCGGCGGATCGATGGCGCGCGCGGCCGAGGCGGCGGGCAGCGGCTGCGGTGCCCCCTGGAGGTGAGGGTACCAGGGAGGGAGGGAGGGATGACGGAGACCGCCGACGATTACCTTAGCAAGGAGGCCAACCACGCAGTGAGCACCATGCCAGCGTATTTCAACGATGCGCAGAGGCAGTCCACGAAGGACGCGGGCGTCATCGCCAGGACGAACATCCTCTGCATCATGAACGAGCCCACGGCTGCGGCGGTCGCGTACGGTCTCGACAAGAAGATTGAGAATAACATCCTGCGGTATGATCTAGGCGGCGGCTCCTTCGAGGTCAGCCTGAGGGTGGAGCAGGCCTTTGAGAGGGCCCCAGTAATGCCAATTAATTGCGTAATTAGATTTTCTGAATTAGATTATCATGCGATCGCCAACGCATCACTTGTAATTCACATGCCCGCCGGAGAAGTCGGTGCGGCCGGCTCTCCCTCCCCAGCTCCCTTCCGCACCCGCCTCACCCCCGACCCCCACCTGCGACAGTCGACCACGATTACGACGACCAACAACTCCACGACCAACATTTCCACAACCCGACGACTAGCAATCCCGCGACCACGACGACCAACAATCCCACGACCACGGCGACCAACAATCCCACGACCGCAAGCACGACGACCAACCCCACGACTACGACGACCAACTATCACGACAGCGTGGGGGACCACGTCTGAAACCACTACCGCCACGACGAGCGGCGCGACGGAGTCGGGGACCACGCTGGTGAGCAGTACGACGGGAACCTCTGGGAACAGCCTCGCGTCGAGAAGCTGGAGTGGGAATGCCACGAACATCACGGGTTGGAGGAGCAATTCGGGATCTAGCATTAGAGCAGCACGTCCGAGAGGCAGCAGAGTGCTGAGCTGCACGACGGAGACGAGCACGATGACGACAATTACACTGGGCTCGAGGGGGGCCAGTAGCACAGGAGAGAGCAACACGACGGGCACCAGGAGCATCACGACACGGTGCAGCAGCTCCACGATGACTAGTGCTCGTGGGACCAGGGGCGGTACAGCAGGGAGCAGCACGAACGAAAGCAGCAGCTCAACGCGGCTATCCGCCAGTGGGCTCAGGAGCACAGCAAAGAGCACGACGGGCATCATGGGCAGCACGACGGCGAGCAGGAGCCCTACGCTCGCAGCGGCAGGTGGGGCTTGCTGCGCAGCAGGGGCTAGCACACCTGAGGGCAGCAGCCATATGCTGGTGCCGGCGAAGGGGACCATAACAAAGAGTAGCGCGAATATGACAAGTGCGACCAGTACCAGCGGCACCACTACGCCCAGCATGTCGGCGAGCAGTACGATCGAGAGCAGCGCTACCAGTATGACGAGAATGACCAGTACCAGCGGAACCACTACGTCCGGCACGTCACTGGGCAGTACGAGCGAGAGCAACAACGCGAGTACGACGAGTGCGACCAGTACCAGGGGCACCACT